TGGCTCGGACTCTCGGAGTCAGGAGCCTTTGTTATTCATTCCATTCCTGTTCTTTCCAGCCTTCTGATGGATCCTTTTCTCTCTATTCTTTTAGTATAGTTTTAGTACATAATTTTAATGTAATATATATAATAATATAATAAATCAGCGTTCTGAAACATGGAGTCAAGATTCTCATCTCCACTCATCCCGGGAGCCCCCGTTGGTTCAACCACACAGGAGCACAAGAATCCTGATGAGGCTGGATGGCACCAAGTGACCTATCCAAAAACAACCCCTTTGGGATCCCATTGAGCTCTGCAGCTCTACTCTGGCAAATAATATTATAATCTCACACAGTGGCCTTGGAAGGATATTTTATTTTTCTAACATCCAATCTAAACCTGCCCTGGAGCAATTTGACATTTCCTCCCATTCTGTCACTCATTACCAGGAGCAGAGGCTGAACCCCACCTGGCTCCTTTCAGGGAGTTGTAGAGAGCAGTAAGGTCCCCCCTGAGCCTCCTTTTTTCCAGGTTGAGCCCCCCAGCTCCCTCAGCCTCTCCTCATCTGGTACTCCAGACCCTTCATGTGTCACACAAGGAGTGGAGGAGTTGACACCATTTATGCTCAACCTTTGGTCACCAATGGGTTTTAAGAAAACAGGTTAATGCAGACCTTTGCAGCTTCTTTTTCTCAATGGTTGCCAAAAACCAATTTACTCTACAGTCCATGATTAATTCTAACCTTAAAGTAAATACCTAGGCAATATGCTTGCCATAGCACAGAGGCTGTTCAGAAACTATAGCTTAACATCCCAAATTAACTGGAAAATCATTTGCATCTTGTTTTACTTTTCAGCAAATTAAACCTTCTCTCCCCAAACCTGTTACTTGTGTACTACTGAGGGAAATCTGAAATTGTCTTGTAATGTGGAAAGTACATAAAAAAGTAAAAAAATATGAATGTCTCATCCTGATCCCCCCAGAGTTTTGCTGTTTGCTATTATTTATAAAGATTAATGACATCAATCCTTGCTCCTCTAATGAATCTAATAAGTCTAAAATCTTCCTGGACGGGTTATTTCACCCAGTTGGCTTGAAAAGAATCAGACCCATAAAGTTTACAAAGTGATTCAGGAAATACAATGCAATAAATCAATTCTCCAACTACTGTTATGGAAAGAAGAAAATATTTCTTATGGTAAGGCTAAATGAATGAATTCAGAACGGATTCACAAATAAAGCTGATAGAAGAAATCTAGAATACATTTCTTTATCATATAATTCTGTTTGTAGCAGCTTTTTGTCTCCTAAAAATCAGATTTAATGCAGACTATTAAAGTGTCACCTGTAAAAGAAATACAAGTTTAGTCCTTTTTACAGTAGTGCCACAAATTCTGCTCTGATTATAAATATTTTACTATATGTAAAGTGTTGTTCTGGGGCCATGTGGTTCCTTTTAAAACACATGTGAACCCTGACCATGTTTTAAACTAAATGAATCTACAACATCCAACACAGTCTATCTAAAAGCAGGAATGCAAGAGCCTAGATGTCCTCTGTATGGACAGAAGTGCTTGTTTATATACTAGAAATGTCCTTTTATGACTAACTGTTGCCTTGGAAACCATTACTAAAAATGAAAGTTTTGTCTCCAAAGAGAAAACCCACACAGTACTCGGTTATCCCAAAGTTTGCCTTATCTTTTCCTGATCAATCTGGAACACAAAGATTTGCAGTCAAATGTTCCTGGCTTTTAATTCCTTCTTCCTATTCTAAAATGGTATCTTGCTGTAAATTTTTTGATTCCAGGTAACAAACAGGAATCAATATTTTATTTCCTAAAAACCCTCTCATCAAAGACATATTTACATCCTTTGTCTCAATAGGCTGGAAAACAACAGCAACAACAACAACAAAAAACATTAACACAATAATTGACCACTGCATCACAGACATAAAAGTCTATTTATTTTTGGCTTATAGTATATTGTAGATAATTTCCAAGGAAAACATCCGATTGTACCTTTGAGTTTCTGACACCAGGACTAAGACAAAAAGGGGAAGATAAAATAATCAGTTTCCTCTGAGCACTGACAGTGCTGTACAGGAAGATGTGAGGCTAAAAATATCACTCTTCAATATGCAGACCCACTCTGTGGATTTCTTACACGGGGTATGGGGCTGTTATCAATAAAAATCTCTGTGGAGAGGATACATGAATTCTAAAATCTCCAGAATCTTTGAAAGAACACTGAGGGTTTAACCTTCACATTGCTGAAAACACAATATGGAACTCAAGAGATGCTGTAAAATCCTCTAGGAATACACATGGCCTTCTGTTGGAAAGATGCTCATGAGGGGGGGAAAGGTCAGTGCCAAAATGCTGGGCAGTGAGAGCTGCAGGAGGATTTGGCACCCAGTGTGGGCTTCTTGTCCCTTCTGTTACCATGAAAGCCTTCCCTGAGTCCTCCACAGCCACTGTGACAAATCTTTTATCCTTTGTGTCCCCACCCTATTTTGGTCAGAATTGTGCTGAGTCTTTTTAAAAACTGACAGGGTTTTGACTTCCCGCTGGGTGTTCCTACAGAGAAATCTGCTGGACTTGCTCAAGGGGAACAAGACCCCAGGGATGGAGCCCATGGAAGGCAGGAGCATCCCACAGAAACCTGGCTGTCCCCAGTTCATACACAGTGAGTGTGACACAGAACATGGACTGCAGCTCAGGAATGAGGGAAGGACACTTCCCAAGGACCACAGGTGACAGGAAGAACTGGGCAGGCTCTGCCACAATGACTAAAAGAGTCAGTGTGTGAGGACCCACTTGCAAGAACAGGAAAGCTGGAGTTGAAGGAATAAGTTATTGAAATGCTTTCCATTTCCATTTGGTTGCTTTGATTTTTTCCCATTTACTAAGATTTTAGTTAATATCATAATGGTACATAATGATATTAATGTACCATTATGATATTAACTATCATAATGGTACATTTTCCCACCTTAGTTTCAAAGCTTTTTGATCTCCTTTGGAGGGTTCATGGTCAAAACAGATTCACCTTGGATGCCTGGCTGCCACAGGGACCTGCACTGCCATCAGCCTCTGTGACATCCCTCCTGCTGGACACGCTCTTGGTACCTGCCCAGCAGCATTTGGTAGTTCAGCACCTGGCTGCAGCCTTGGCAGGGTGGAGCAGTGGCTCTGAGGCACTTCTGAGTTCTACACCTACACCAGGCTCTCGTGTTTGGGTGAAAAGGAAAACAGGCAGCATTTCAACAAAGCCTGTTCTACATTTCAAGGAAGTCCTTCAGCACAGATAAATGAAAAAAGGAACATGTCATGGCATTGTTTGTGTTTTTCACAATGTAGCACGTCCTGATTAAAAGCAGCTCTAACCATCATGACCAGGACAGGCACCAACTATTCTGTGAAACTAATTGTTCTGTGTTGGTATCCAGCGGAAAATTACAGGATAAATAATAACTGAAAGCCTCCAATTCTCATTTGGTATCTTTCCTGTACCTCACAGGGAGAGGGGCTGCCTGGCCATTGCCAGTGGCTGGCACCAGCTGGGGACATTAGCCTGGGCTCGGAGCTGAGGCTGTCACTTGACTCCTGCCCCTGGGGCACCTGGTGCCAGCTGAGCTCCTCACAGGGGCCACTAGCCAGCCTCAGCCCTCGTGTGAGAACCTGCTCGTGTCTATCTTCCCTTTCAAGACTCTTACTAAGAAGGAGTGTGAAGCAAAACAGGTTTTGAGAACTGAGTGAAGGAAATTTCTGCTATAAAGTAAAATCTGGGGGCTTTTTTTCCCCCAGCTGGCATATTAAAACCAATAGAAAACCTTGCAAAGTGACTTGTTCTTCTCTAAGTCAGCTTGCAGTTCTGTATAGAACTTCCAAGAAATGGAAGTTGCAGAAGAATTATCAGAACATCTCTATTTTAGGCCTAAGCTAAAAGTAAATATATATTCTACATATATAAATATATAAGATCTAAAATCCCATTATAATATCTAAATTGAATTCAGTAGATGCACTACAATACTTACTGCAGCACAGAGAAATTAGATGAGTTCCTTATTTTGGCCATACATCACTTTTTAAAGTGGAATAGAAAAAAAAAAAGGGTAATAAATTATTTAATGTTCATTTATCTTCTCTATTACAATTCTGTCACTGTGCCCTGTCATGGGAATATACAAATTCTACACATTTTGTGAGAGTAGTAATGAGAATGCACTCTTCTTCTGAAATAGTTTTAGTTTAAGTGATAGAGATGAAAGTTACTCAAAAATCAGCTTGCAATTAACTGTTGTGACAATAATTGCATCTGAAATGTAGTTTGGTATCAGGAAAAATGGTGTGTTGGGACTTGTCATTTGTCTTCTTCACGTTCAAGAATTTTTCACTTCACTGGAACCCCCTTACAACACCACAAACCAAAAAAACCCACCCCAACTCCCCTCACCCAAATCCCCTTTTCCAGTTTATTTGCATCACATAAGGAATTAAGTATTAATAAACTGAGACCTAAACCATGCAAAGAAGGTCCTACACGTCCTGCTAGAAGATAAACTTCAGATGAAATAAAATTACATTTCTAATTTATGAATGCAAGGCTTGCACTGGCAGTGTGCTTCCAACAGTGAAGCTGGTAAGATTCTCTCCTCTCCCATCTCTCTCTTTCACAACCACATCCTTGTAAATGAACACAAATTGCCAAAAGAGGAAACAATACGGAAAAAGAACCTTCACAGCCAACAAAACCACAAAGAATGAAAAAGGTCTCCCACTTATACTTGCACATTTGCTTAAAATAAACTTTTGCCAAAGTTTATTAGCACATCCCTTAGCCAAAAAATCAAAACAACTTCCCTTAGCACTGCCAGTGCGTTTGCTGAATCACACTGAGAAGGGAACAAAGCCAATTCCAACTGTTCTTCCTATGGCACAGACAAATCTGAAACTGGAACACAAGAGGCACCAGGCAATCAGCTGCTCAAATTAGATAAGAAACTCACACTTGTGGTGTAGGCAGCTTCGGGGTCGTCCTCCAGCACCCGTGAGAGCCCAAAATCAGAGACCTTGCACATGAGGTTGCTGTTGACCAGGATGTTGCGCGCCGCCAGGTCCCGGTGCACGTAGCCCATGTCGGACAGGTACTTCATGCCAGAGGCAATGCCCCGCAGCATTCCCACCAGCTGGATCACCGTGAAGTGCCCGTCGTGCTTCTGCAAGGGAGGAACAGCACAGCTACTTCCCATTTGTTTCATGCCAGTGATGCCAACCACTGCTCTTATTTAAAACGCTTCTGTCACCCGTCCAGCAAGGCTGCCCACTTGCAAGCTTGTTTTTTCAAGGACTTAAGTTGCTTGGCAGTGCATCCCATCAAATCTCTCATTGGGCATTATCCCCCTCTTCTCCACATGTTCACACATTTCACAGTCTTCCTACTGACAACATTTAATTGCTTTCATACTTGGTTACTATGAACGCCTTCCCCCAATGCTATTTTTAGTACAAGAATGAGAAAGGACACAAATTTCTTCACCTATAGTCTCAGGAAACAAAGAACCCTCTTTTTATTGTCTGAGCCTTGATTGTCTGCATTGAGGTACTGCTGTTACCTCACTTTTATGGTATTTTTTCGGAGAGGGTTTGTTTGTTAAAAAAAAATAATCCCAAAATAACCTAAAAAAAAAAAGTTTGGGGCTTTAGCTCATGCTTGTACACCTAACACCTAATCTCTGAACACTAGGTTAAATGGGGTTGAATTCAGGGGTTATGTAGGCTTGCCAGAATTCTCCTGGCAGAGTAAACTCAGATCCCTGAATGCATTAAATACCTTCTGAAAACTATTGGAGTTGAACATGTAAATAAGAGTTAAGCCATTAACTGTGCTTGCCCAGCTGGGCAGCCTTGCTGGGCCTCAGTTTCTCCATCTGCAGCATCAAAGTTAACACTCCTCTATGTCCTGCATCAGACAGCTCCTGAATTTTGTGGCAGTGGGGACCTGCACAGAAATGTGATTGCAGGCTCTCTGCCTTGTTTAGACCTGCCCTCTCTACCATGCACAGCAGGCTGCTTGCAGGAGTATTTCTGTGACCCCACCTGCCAGACATTTAGCTTCTCATGGATTATTCCGTGACCCAGGCTTTTTATGTTTGCAGGAACAGCCAAACAACACCAACTCCTGCAAACAAGTAAACTTCCCATTTTCTCTTTCAACACTTTTAACACCGGGCTACAGACAAAGAATAAGTTCTGATCAGCATTCAGGACCCTTCTATTGCTTAGCTCATGCATTTAAGCAAGATGATTTTTATAGGGAAAAAGCTTACAGGAAGTTCAGCAAATCCATCAGATTCAGCAAAGCAACAGGCTGAACTATGCTTAGCTTCATCCCTGGTCAGCAAAGTATTTCAGCATTCCCATAATGATTCAATGATTTGGGGCCTGTATCCAGCTAGTCAGGATATGAACATTTAAAGGCTATGACAAAAATCAGAAAGAAAATGGTAAAAGGAGGATACAAACACACCTTGTCAGCTAGATGACCTCACTGCCTTATTATACCTCTCAGCAACACTTGTATTTAAGGAGCCATGCCAAACACCACAGCCACCTCCTAAGAAAGTACATTTAATGACACTTCTTTGAAATCAGCTATTTATAACTGATTTAGAGCATTTCTTCCTCTTGAATGTGTCTTAGGGCAGTAAAGCTTTTCTGTCTCTAAAATCTTTACACTGAAGTACAGACAGCTCTCCCCAAGGAGGCCACACCTTCCCTTGTCACCATCAAGGCCACGGATGAGCAGCTGGTTCTGCAGAGGACACTCAGCTGAGGATCAGGACACAACTTCTACGAGTCCCAGACTACCAGTGACTACCAGTTTTCAATAAACTCATCCCATCCAGCAATTAAGCAAAGAGGGACAAAAGATTATATTTTTAACTACTTTAAGCTGCTTCCTGTAAAGGAAGGACAGGAATTCCAGCAAATATTTTTGTAATGAGGTCACATCGGATTTCTGGGTTTGCTTTTTATTTAATAATTCTAATTGTTCACTTGATTAAAAAATTACAAAGCTGGTTGCCAACAGTTAGTACTCTTCACACTTACCATGTATGGATTATTTTTTTCAGCTAACTGTAGAATTAGGATTTGGAACAAAGTGCCAGCACCTGATTTTTGCAGAATGACAATTCAAGCCCCTCTCTACCCCCACAACAAAGCACCAAACTAAATCAGCCCCTCAAACCTCTAGGTTTTACCTCCTCCTTAACAGCTCCGTTTTTTAACAAACCTCAGAGTCATCTGCAGCACCTCCCTTAACCTTTTGTCTTCTTGGATTGCAAGCATTCATTCCTTCCTTTTTTAATTTCTGCTCTTTCAAATCTAGACCATGCTTGGCTGATTTTTCATAAAACATAACCTTTTGTCTGCTCTTTCCAAGTCTCAGTACTTGCCTTACCAGTATAGCTGTAATGCCTGATTTTAAAACAATCTCATGCTTTTGCCATTCTCTCAATTGTATTTCAAGTTTTTTTGGGATTCTGCCTTGACACAAAAAGTTAAAGCTTCTTATCTTCAGTGTTAAAGAAATGACAGACCTGCTAACGTACCAGCTGCAATTTTATTCTGTCCTCCTTCTCCCTCTGTGTATTTCTCAGAATCCTCTACTGCATCTGCTCTCCTCTCTCTTTTCTCATGCTTGGTTTTATATTTTTTCACTGCCAGCCTTGCAGTTGGACCAACTGAATCTTTACTGTCAGCAGAACAGTCTTTTCTCAATCAAGTCTCTTTGTAATCACTTCTGCATCGGTTTCCATGCCAGCTGTATCCCCTTACAAACTATAAACTTATCATTCAGTACATCAAAAATTTTTTGATGTAAGCTGATTGGGATACAGATCATGAGCTATATTTAACCTTTTGAAAATTCAGCTAGGTTGATGAAATTATAGCAGGAAGAATCTGACCTCATATTTTCAGCATTTTTCAAGCCCCCAGGTACAATCCTTTGGCAACTTTCCACTAACTTGTTTCATTCATTTGGCATATAGGGAAATAAAACACTCATCTGACTGATAGCATGGTTGTTACCCAGGGCTTTATTCTGATTCCCATAGCTTAGATTTGAAATATGTTTTTGATAGGATTCCCACTGGGCTGTTAAGGGTGTTAATCAATACTGGCAGCAATTCAGACCTCAGTGGACTCACCACATTTATCCTATCATCCCATTAAATTTTAATCAAGCTTTGATGGCTTTGCTAAATAAACTTTTCTCAACAGTTGGGTATAGATGCAATATCTGAGTAGTTGCTCTTGCATTCACGCAGTCTTTAAAAATGCCCTGAAAACATTATTTTTATTCAGCTACAGTTTGCTTTTAAGAACCTTATTTAAGTTAAATATTCTCCTCATGTTATGGACCTTTCAAGAGCACTAACTTATAATGGGCTGCTGAAGAGGTTCAGGTACTGTAGGGGAGGAAGTAGGATATCCAGACTTTCTCTCATTGCATTTTGCCCTCCAGTTTTCAGCTCCAGTTGAGTGCTTTCCTACAAGCCTGTGGAATTTTTCTTCTTCAGAAGGTTTTTACCATTTCACTACCCAGTAATCTTTTGGAGGCGTGGCCAGTGGATTTTTCTGTATTGTTTCTGGAGCTCCATCTGTTCCAAAATCCACTTCCTTATGTGCCAAATGACTCAGAACACTTTTAGGCGTTTATCCTCTGTTCAGGATTTACTACAGGTCTAAAAATTTTACTGCAGATTATTTAGATCTCGTTTTAGATGGAGAACAGCAGTGAAAATGGTGTGTCTGTGTCTAACTTAGATCATATTCTCCACTGACATTTCCTACTGGTCACTGGGTGAAAGATGCAGTTTTTGCTATGCATTTATTGTTACAGTTTTACACATTTACTGTGCAAAGTAAATGGTGGAACTTTGTCATGATAAATCTTCCAAAATTCAAGTTGCAGCTTGATATTTCTTGGAAGCGTTCCTCATTCTTCAAACTATCATGTGTGTCACACTAAAGTTTATATTTTTGGTACTAAATGAGGACGGTCAGCTGATAATTTCTTCTTCATTCAACTGTTGACAGAGCTCCATGCAGACTTAATTATTATTAATAGATTCCATTAATTCAATGTCTAATTACTTTAGTTCATTTTAAATGCTAATGAGTGATCCTACACAGAGTGCAGAACAGCCCTACCCCGTACTTCCATCCAAATTCCATTCCCTCCACACAGGATATAGCAGAAATTTCATGAAGATGATATTTCTCTGGCTGCTCACAAGCATCTCATGTTTTAGAGAGAGTTTTAAAGCCTTACTGAAGCCAAAGTTTATGAGATCAACTGCTTCTCCCACAGCCATAAATCCTGAGCCCTGCTACAAAAGGAAACCAGATCTGTTTGACAGAATTAGTTCTTGACAAATCCATGTTGGCTCACACTTATCTCACTGTTATCTTTAAGATGCTTAGACTTTGTTTGATAATTTGTTCCAGAAATCTTACAGCAGTTGACATTAAGCTGACTGGCCTGTAATTTCCTGGCTTCTTTTTTCCTCTGTTCTAAAAGACATTCAAAATCCCTTCATTTAAAAGCCACTGGCTCTGTTCTGATCTTCTGATTTCTCATTGTTGACAAACTCATAAAGAGCACACTGAGAGAGTCCACATTACCTTTCAAATTCTTTTTGCCTTCAAACACAAGACCATTTGTAGAAAATTTCCTGTTGCTCAGTACTAAGGATATCTACAGTATTTAATGTCTAAGTAAGAATATCTACATATTAAAAATGCCCAGCATTTCTAAATCAAATTCCCACAACAGCATCAGAAATGCTGTTTTGCACATACTTTTAGGAGGGTAAAACATTGCTTGAGAACAAATACTGGCTCTGTAGCACCAGTGACACCTTCTCAGTGCAATCTTAGGTCACTTAAATACATGCTGCTTACAATTTCACTGTTAAGGTAATGCATCTTTCAAATCCACTTTCTAATTGCTCAATCTGATTTTTAAAAAAAGATAAAGGTATCATCAGTTTCCAGGTTCCTAGTGCAGGTTTTCTCTTTTACAGACTGATTTTTGAAAGCAAAATGCCACCTTTATCCTGCCAGGAAAGGAACGTGCCTCCAATAAATTAAAGTGCACGTGAATGCTGTGTGGGAAAGCAAAAGAAGGAATATTAGTTATGAGCTCCAATGTTTTTGCCTCTCTGAATGCAGATAAATAATAACAGGAAGCATTAAACTTAGGAAAGGCCATCTGGTTTTTTTCCCCCCACAGCCTGCTCTGTCTGGTGAGGCCATGTTAGATGGATATACAACACACACTTTACAACACTGTTTCACAGAATTTGCTGCAAGTGCTCATTTTTGTCTTCTCTCACTTTCCCCCCAAACTTGCTAAATGTGTCTGCCACAGCATCTAAACTGTAGCTGAAAAAAGGGTGAGTGTGATGGCAAAGCTGCTCTGAGAATAACTTCATAACGATTACTGCAAGAAACAGCAATATATCACAATATTTTCTCTGTCTAGTAACACTTATCTTAGCCTCTGCTCGGCCAGCCTTGAGGGATTAAAGCTGAATTCCAGGGTTTCATTTGCTGTACAGTCTGCTGCAGCTGGTGCTCTAAGGCAATTAAGCTTATTTCTTATAGACTCTTAGAAAGAAAAAAAAAAAAGTGTGGCAGCATTTTTACTTACTATCCTTGCCTGTATATAAATCTTTTTTCCACAAGTATTTTAATTTTCTGAAGCAGAAATCCATCAGCACCAGTTTTGAGAAGGAAGAGGAGACTTACAAAGGCAAATGGCAAAAATGAAGAAAGCAAGGTGGTGCTGTGATTACCCCAGGTAAATACATCTCTTCCTTTTACAACTCTGAGATTCACAAAACTGGGGAAGACTGGAGCATCTTTCAAACCTAAATATCTCTGTCTATTCAGCACACCTTGGACACTGAGCAGGAAACTACTCTGGTAGTCTGCAGCTGCAGAAAAATACTGAAAGAAGCTCAGTATTGTGGTGATATTCTTTGGTTCATTTAATGTGATTTTGGGTAGCCAGCCATGAACCTCCTCCAAAAGGCAGCTTCCAGACACGTTCCTTTTCTGTGTTTGAATCCATGGCCACAGTGCCTGGTGCACGAGGAGGTGAGCACAGACCACAGCCAGCTCAGAGCTCTCCAGGAATCATTGCTCCCAAGAAGCCACCTCACCTCCTAACCACCCTGTTCCTCTCCATGTGATCCTAAATCCAATTGTTTAGCCAAGACCCCATTAATGGAGCTGTGAAGACAAAATGGAGCAGATGAGATTTAAATCTGAATATCCCCGTGAATCTGTGAGGCACAGGCTTAGAGAGTGGGCTGAGTGGGGGACGTTGTGTCGGGGAGAAAAAACCAACCTCGAGGAAAGGACTTTTGTAGGAATTACTGCAATCATCTCATAGGCTTGGGTCCAACAGCCATCTCCAACCCACTGCAGGGCAAACTGCCAAACTGCTTGCTAAAAAGGTTTTGTGGGTTTTCAGCTCTTTTTTCCTCTAGTTTGTGGTTATTATGCATCTCTCCTGGTGGTCTTTCTTGTTATCTCTTCTGCAGCCTATATCCACAAGCCTGAGCACACACATCTGACTGCAACTGCCCTGTCTCATCACTAACATCTTTCCATCAATGCAGAGAGCTGCCCTTTCAACCCTTCTTGCCTTTATTATTTGCCTCATATGTCTGCAGAATAAAGGATTGCTGAGATCTCCATGATCTACCACAGGCAGGTAAAGCATAATGACAATGAGCCCCATCCAAAATCTGTGTGTGAAACTGCTAACAGGAAATTTTACCTGTGTCTCCTCAATTCCCAGGGTTAGCCACTTTCTTTCCAGGCACAGATTTCCTCTGTCTGGAAGCTGTTGGTGTAATGCTGGAAGAGGCTTCGAGCCCCTGAGGAAATACTTAGCTGGAAACCCACAACCTTTTTCAGAGAAATCTCTCCAAGTGTTACCAGAAATGAAGCCACATGAACCTCATTTCTGGTCAAACAATTGTTTCATTGATTGCAAATTTCAGGTATACTTTTCTGAGATGATTAACCAATATGTCTCAATCTTATATGATAAAAAACTTCCAAACAACACTACAAAAAACTAAGTTTCATCTTTTGTAAATGAGTTTTATATAATTGGGAAAATAATGCAGTATTTCTGAGGAAAATTCAGTGTCAAGTGTATCCAGCAATTTAGGATGTCTGATGATGCACAATCACTGAAATTAATTACCATCATCTTACAAAATTGGTTCTAATTAGCTGATGCCTTCCCACTTCAGAATATCTCTGAAGCAGCTTCATATTGCAAATCCATGCCAATGTTTTTTACCTAAAAATGTTAGCAGCTAGCATACAGGATCCTTTGTGGGGTGGGGAAGACATAATTCAGCTGAGCTTGCTGTTAAATCCACATAAATAGCAGAAAATGGACATGGCTGTCTCTAAAGCAAGGAGTAAAGGCTTTTCAGATTTTAGGGGTGAGAGATTAAAGGGTGGGGAGAGGCTTCTGATTTGTGGCACAACCTGTACTGGCATGAAAGAAAATATCCCACCACGGCTGTGAGGAGGGTGATCACAGATGGAATTCTCCCTCTGGAATACCCTCACATGGTCCATCACAGCATCTCACTTTGAATTTGTAAGACTGACCCATTTTTGCAGGCTTTTGAAGAAAGACAGATGGAGGGATTTGGTGGGGAATTTTTGCTGGTAGTGGTATGTGGGGAAATATTTCTTATGGTGAGAAATGGACTTTTTTCCCCTCTGTGTAAAAACACTTTGCACTGGAACAATTGATTCCTTTAAATAATAAGAAACACAGACTATGTGATAAGCCCTTCCAAATCCCACAACATTTGTTATAGTCACTGAACGCCTTTCATTAGGATTGCTAAAGATAAAGCCTCTCTGCTGCTTTGTATCTTCACAAAAGCTTTTAAAAATGTGGACTTATATCTGCAGGAAACAACTATTATTAATGAAGCAGCTGGATTTCTTCTTAAATAGGTTACTTTGCAGCCATTTGCTCTGCTAATTATAAACAGAAATGCTGACATATATCTACAGTGCTTTGGGATGTTGAATATTATCTAAAGTACATTTAAAAAGCCTTTTAGAAGAATAACCCATATCTGAAGTGTGAATTGAAGCTGTAAAATAATATACATGAAAAACAGCTGCAGAAATTATTAGCTCACATTTCCCCCCAGCAGTTCTTCTTCCAAATATATCTGATGCAATGTGAGAAGCATTGCTCCACAGTAACATCATAATTCTGCTGATCCCACTTTCTATTAAAGTATCCTAATAAGTAGTTACTGTTCTGATACATGAATGCATGTGAAATAAACCTGGAATATAGATATTACACCAGAGCAGTTCAGAGAAAGGTAATTCTCTCTCATGAATTATTTCAGGACTTGGTTCTGTTCTCTTCTGTGAAATTCTCCATGCACACACACATGAACAGAACAATGTTTCAGGCCCAGACAATTCTTCTTGGGCCACTGCTGAAAAATCACAGAGCAGGAAAGCTGCAGGGCCAGTTCAAATCAGGCTCAAATCAGGGGCAGTTCCTGTGCTGCAGATGGACAGAGAGATGAGCCAGAAAGGAAAGGGGAGTAATTTTAAAAAACTACCCAGTGTCCAACACATTGATGATATCAGATGCTCCATAAAAATAACTTGATTTTGAGAAATCAGCAAATTGTCACAGGAAACTGCTGGTATGTTTCTGACAACATAACAGATGTCTGTCATGTGTCTTGACAATGGAAAATAAAAAATTATTTGGGAGATAGGTGAGGAGAACAACAAAGGAATGTCTGAGAAAAATTACTATGGAATAATCCAAACCAAAAAGTGAAGAGAATGAGGGTCTGGAGGTATCTGTGGCAGTGGCTCTGCTGTCCTCTCAGGGCTGCATCCCTTGCTCCAATTGCTCTTCTCTGGTGGCTTCCCCTCTTCCCAACAAGTTCTGCCTCCATGACTTTCTCCCCCTCATGTAAATCTTTCTGAAGTGCTGGCTGATTCTCCCTCCTGCTTATTCACTTTTTTTCTCTAAGCAGTTCCTCCTCCTGCTACCACAGAAGAGCCTTCAGTCACCATCACCAAGATTTTCATGCCAGTATTTCCACAGCTCCCTGTTGAATGTGTCTCCTTTGGGATACCCTTTCAAACGAATTCCCAAACCCCCAGGCCCCTGACTCCCCACAAGCCCAGATTTTCCATTCTGCAGGATGGAAATGACAGTGGGCTACTGGGGGCTGGTGTTTACTTTTTAAGACAAATCTGAGATACTTGACATTAAAATTATTCACACAGGTTCTTAGGTCAGTGGGTCTCTGGAGCATTTCCAGGGGCTCTGTTAAAAAAAGGACTGTTTTAGGATAACTTTAGCTCACAGAGGGGAGGTCATCCTTTCTTTTTACGTTTCTAAAAAGAATGAAAAACAATTTTGCCATCGTATTACTCACATTTTCTGTAGCCCTTCTTTAATGTTTACTAAGGACCTTTGGGGGTTAATTAATGCCAGGACATTTCACCCATGAACTGTTTTCTAATTCAATTTGTTAAATGCAAGTAGCCATAAATATTATAAATCAATTACTGAGTATATTCTACGCTTCACCAACCAAAAAAATCATAACAGAATATTTTTGAAGGTGATTCAGAAAAATGAACCAATTCCATAAGGCCAGGCATTTATGCTTCAATTTATCTTTTCTTTCACAAAAACAATTTGAAATACATTTTGCTAAATACAGGAACTACTTTTGTAGAAGAAATCAATTATATTCTGAAGTTTAAATCTTCTTTTTTTTCCAGCTGTGCTCTAATGTATTACTGTACCTCAGAAAAGTACCCTGGGGAAAAGGCTTCTATTCTTCACTAGAAATCCATGAATAACATTATGTAGAAATTAATTTGTGATAAATGATTTAAAATCTTAACCTAGAATGGTTTCTGATTCAAATGTCATCAGAAAATGGCACCTCACCCGCAGGAAGGAGTCAAGGGATCCGTTCTCCATGTATTCAACTACAATCATTACTGGTCTGCCTGCAAAACAGCAAAGAGACACATCAGGATTAGGGACATATTATGGGGCTTTTACAATTCTAGCTGTTCTGCAGAGATTATTCACAGTAGCTGAATATATAAAATATTTCCAAAATTCTCATTTATATCACAAACACAATTCCCTGTGTTACTCTTAAGAATTATTTTCTAGGCTTTTTTAAAATTTTTTTTGTTTTGGTTTTGGTTTTTTTTTTTTTTTTTTTTTTTTTGGTTCTTAATGGATCAGCTGAATGCACATCATTCACTTTGGTGTATTCTCCCTTAAAAATGATCAAAGAAGAGCCTGCTATCTCCAAATAGCAAAATGTGCCATGTAATATTTTGGAATGTATCTGAATTAAGGCAAACCCCAAATATTCATAAGCCATGTCCAAGTAATTACAAACTGAGGGTCATAATTTTCCTCTCAAAGAAAAATATCTCAGTGACTCAGGAACATAGGAGATTGATAGAATGGGGTGTCACGAAAAAAGTTCTCCTAGATCTGGTGTGTGCATTGGGTGTGTATAATCCAAAAAAAACCCTCTGAATTCCTATGTTTGAAAATACCTAAAATATACACAGTGTTACTCAAATCAAGGTTTTGCTCAACCAGCACAGTCCCAGGGTGGCACCATATCCAAACTGAAGCAGAACAAGACATTACACTTATGTCTTGAAAGGATATCCCAGTCTGAAGATAAACTTTTGAAATATGTACTTAACTTTAACACCAGCTGGGGTAACTTTAACACTGCTGATACCCTTATAAAAACAAAAAACCTCTGTAACTGCTTGAAAGGGGCAATCCGGCTGCCAACCAGGCTGCACAGCAATTCTTAGAATTACCAATATCCCAAAGCAGCCATTTTACACTAAAAATGAATAATAATATTAATTAAATAATATTAAAAAATGAAGAATGATATTAATACTATTAGGAAGGAGGTGAAAGGGCTTAAAATGGCAGACTTTTCTTTTCCTGGGAATGCCCATCTCTTTTGGGGTTTGTGGGAAACCAGAGCTATGCCAAGAGGTGACACTGTCAGTCCAACATTTCCCTTCCTCAATTCCACGCTAGCTGGGCCAATATTTTTCAAACCCAAAAGAAGACTCTTTCATCACTTTTTTTTTTCCTCTTCTGCTCAATTTATGTTTGTGATTTTTTTGGATGAAGGGATGACAAACACAGAAAGCGCTCGGGCTGATAAAGCGTAGAAGGGCGTTTTGATTGTTCCACCACAATTATCTATTTCTGTTCAGTTTGGTTAATAGTGGAAGTGTTTAATAAACTGTCTACAATGTACAACAGGCCACAGCCAGGTATTTCTCCTGAGCAGTTACAGTTTCCCGTCAATTTAAAAATGAATGGTCCATTTCTGTGTTTGCTCTCCAGCATGGCGACCCAGAGTTTTGGCTTCCTGGTGATGCCCATTCACTTAGTCTGGTCTTTTTGTAGTTCCTATCAATATTCCCTCATTTCCTCTAATAAAAATTGTGATTATTTTTGTATTGACTCTCATGTTCACATCTTCCATGAATAAAACATTTCATAGTGTTGTCACAATACTAATTGGTTTTTTTTTGTGTGTGTGTGTGCGTGTGAAAATTCCCAGATGCCTTGATAAGTCTTTTGGGATAGCCCTTAGAAGTGTGAAGAATAACCAGCTTTTTTCTTTTTAACTAAATGTTTAGTCTCAGCTGCTGATATGCATCTGCCAGCAAATCAGTTATATTCATCTGCACCCATTGGTTATACCCTGGTTTTGCAATATAAACTTAAAAGATACATCACTTTTAAGCTCTTAGAGATCAGAGCGTTTTAAAAATTCATGTTTCCTTTAGTTCAGTTTGCTAATGATGACTGGTTGTACAGCCCACTCTCTTTAGTTTCAAGCACATGAATGCTCCAGATTCCCTTCCCTTTATCATTTCCTTACTGTCACAGGGCTGACACATGAAAGGAAAATCCTAAAACCTAGAGAAGTAAACAAACTGCAGCCTGATGCTAGAGAATCTTCCACTGTGCAAAACCCTCTTGAGCAAGTAGTCATTTCGGAATTGATGCAGACAATAGCATTTTTCAATAAGTAGGGGTCTAAAGCTGGCTTTCAGATGGCATATTCAGTCAGAAATTTCTCTTTCTGAGTAAATCAACAACTACAACACCTGTACAGAAAATTTGCATTTGAAGGGAAGGACAAAAGGAGCTTTAGAACAGCACCCCTGGTTTCCTGTGGGTAATCCTTTGGCACTCTACACTTTCCAGAAGCTGTAATTTTCTCTAGAGGTTCACAGGCCCTCATTGCAGCTTTTATGCTCCTTAGAGTCACATGCTTCACCACAAATTATTTTCATACTTGCTAAACAGAACTATTAATTCTTCTACATTCTCTCACAAAATATTCTTCCTTCCAAAAAACACCCCACCTGCACTTCCTTTTGCTCAGATCCTATGCTCCTAGGTTAAAGTAACTATGAAATATATTTATATGCATTCATCTGTGGATTCAAAGAATGTATTTTGGTATTTTTTTCACTGGATAATGAGGTTGTAAACTACTCAACTTGAATGACTTGAAATGACATGCCTTAACACAAAACCAGCTCTTCCAAGTGACAGCACAGGAATGGCACTAAATACACCAAAAAAGCAGCATTTTCCTTCTAACAGGTTGCTGTATATCAGAAAATCAGCATACCATCAAAAATTTAGTCACTTAGGCTGATAGCTTCCCACTGACTCAGTCTGTATCACTTGCCATGCTACCTAAATTTCAAATGAAATTGAGGTGGGATTGTGTCAAATCACCACGTGTCAAGACACCATGAAAATAAACCTGGCTCCATCACTTGATTATCTCAAGCAAAAATCTTTAATCTGGACACAAACCAAAATTCTCAAATAATCCACTCTTTCATGTGACAGGACTTGATAAAAGCCACCTGATTTTGTCTGCAAGTTTAATGTATCCCTGCAGCTATTTATGAATTCCAAGCCAGATTGTGACAATGACATTTTTAGTCAGCACAGTATTTGTCTTTGGAGCACCTGTGGGTTAAAAATGTCTCAGCTGTTGTTAGGGTGGCTTGAAGACAGAGCAAAAAACTCTGTTACACAGTAGAATCCAGTGGGAACTTTTATCACCAAAGTGGCAACACTGGCTCTATTGCCAGTGTTTTCCTTTACAGAGTAGTGCAACTTGAGTCCCGAAAAACTTGTATGTGCTGGACCCCTCTACAAACACAAAATATTGCTTTAAAGAGGACTACAAAACTGACTTTAAAAATAGCACTGGGAGATTTTTAAACTAGTGTAGTGTTTGCATCTAAATATTTTTTTAAAAAGCCTATAACTTAGATTATGAAAATTCACGCTGTTGTCGTGACACTAAGAATTCTTCATCCTCAAAACAAGACCAGAAGTGAATAAATAGGAATGGGGTAGAGAAATCTCTGAGACAGAGAAGCAATCTTTGATTATTTTATCAAGGGGTAGGCTAATGCAATGCTGGAAGTTATTGAATTATTTTCCCAGGATTGCTTACAGCACAAAAGATGGAGAATAAACAGCTTTAAGGACAAAGAGCAGTGGGACACAGACGGCAGCCAAGGCACTCCTGGGAGTGACAACAACCTCCACAAGTGGCTGAACCTCCTGGGATAGGAACACACCCATCACCAGCACAAAGAATTGCCCACTTCAGGGAAGTGTTTCCACACAGATACAGGAACAGGTACAGGAGAGGGATCTGAAGAACTGAGTTAATTTTGCAGTCAAGAGCCACACAAGAGAAGGAATGGGAAAAGGACACTGAAAAAAGTGTCAGCTGAGGGTTTGGAACCAAGGAGCTAAAAAAGTGTGGGTGTTGCTGGAGGAGAGCACACAGCTTCTCCTTTGAACTGGGGGAGGATGAAATAAAAATGTTTGAAGCTGGTTCAATGATCAAATCAGCCAAACAAATCAGACTCACAGCAGTTTTAGATGCTTAGCACTGCTGGAGTGGGGAGAAAACAAACCTTTTAAAGCAGAGGAATTACAGAGTATCCTGAGGCAATGGGTTTGAACCCTAAATACAGATTTTACACATTACATATATCACAATTATAATGTGCAGCACATTAGAACAGGTGTATCATTTTACTACATAGTTAAAGTAACAACATGAAATAATTGTATTTATGCATGAGACACACACTGACACCATCCCCACATTCTCTGTTCTCAGATTTTTTGGGAAAGCATAAATATTCCCCCACCAGGCACATGTGGGATATTGTCTGAAGCAGATTTCCCTCCTTGCACATGGAGTAACTGTGGCTCTGGGAGATCCATTTCAGAGTTCCAGCATCTCAGAAAGCCACACTGAACACACAACAGCAGCACTGGGGCTTGGCATGATGCAGGGAAAGGACAGCAATTCAATTTATCACAAATGAGATGAATCTAGAGAAGGGGCAGGGGCTGTTCACTGTTTTGAGGCAACTCCCACCTTGTGACAAGAGGCTGACTGCTTTGGACAACTCTCCCTAAGGAAGTTCTTTGCAGCTCTCCCACTCAGCTGTGCTGCAGTGCCACTCAAACAAAACCAGTGAAAGTGACAAACAATCTGTATTGATGTCATGCCACCCCAGAATATGCTGCAATCTTCTATTTGCCATTGATCAATCTGTTTGTCATTTTTTTAATAAGCAGGAATGCAAAATTTAAAAAAAAAATGAGCCATACATTGCCAAATAATGTAAAATACTGATTAAATCTGAAATTCACATTGTATATATTTTTAGGGTTTGTTTTTTTCCACAACACGAGATTTTGATAGCATGCAACTTAATTGAGTGCCAGAGTGATGAATAAGGAGGAGAATTTGAAGTGTCATATCAATGACAAAATATTCAGCTTGTTGTCTCCTGTTGTAATTTTAAATAATACAGCAAAGCCTCCTTTAATGAATGTTTTATGTAAGATTAATCCTCCAAAAAGAATACTTAGCACATGT